CAACAGCAGCAAGACCCTGTGCTGTTTTGAGCCCTTGTTGTTTTCATAGCCATTTGGAATGCAGAGTTGTGAAAATGTTGCCACAGGTCACCATGTTTGCAGAGCAGCGAGTCCAGCTCTACATAGATAGAAGGGATTTGAAACACTGTAGAAGGCAAGTCATCTGACCTAATTACACTGGTAGGGGTTGCTAAGGATGAAGTTTCAACTGGAGCTCTGTCACATGCAAACTGCCAGCATATATAGCCATTACCAGGGCAATAACTTAGTTCTACCTCTGTTACTTTTCCATATCATGATTTACCGTTTTGTTTGGTTGGGTAAAATGAGAGGGCTTAGCTCATCTCTGAAATTTAAAGTAAGGGATCTTACTGTATTTCACAGTGGCTTCAGTGAGACTCAAACATTTAAACATTGCTGCTGTAGTGTTGAGTTACATCAGACCAGAGGTTACTGGTTAAAAAACACAAATCACAAATTTACACTGTTTAACTTGTGCATCACTTTTTGGTGTGTTTAATTTTAATCCATAATCACATCTTAAGAACTTCTGTAAAGCACTGAACCATTAAAAATAGCAAAATCCTAGAGAAATTGCATTGCTAGAAATGACTCTGTGTTAAGAAATTCTTTCATTATTTTTGACACTTTCATGTGTATTTAAATCAAAGTGTGTCATATGAAACAAATGCAATGCTTTGGTTCCCTTTGCACTATCAGTACATTACCAATAATATATGTTGTGTTTTTAGAATAGTGAAATTAATTAAAATTAATTAATAAAAGTTGAAAATAAACAGTTAATGACAAACACAGATGGGTTAATGTTACATTAGATGCAGAAATTTGGTAGCAACTTTAGCTATAATATTCAGTCAGATGATGTTAAATATCATAAGAACATTAGTAATGAATAGACTCTGTTATGATTCAGTTCGTACGGCATGTGGGTTTTACCCTTACAAAGCAGGCTGAAAATTTATAGTCTCTGGGCTAGATGCATGTTCCATGTGCTTATCTTTTAAACAGGAAAGTGCAAATAGGCCCATTTCAGCAAAGAAAGGGAAATGTACACTTGAGATTATGGCTTATTCTTGGGCCTATTCAACATAACAGCACCAGTGTGGCTTGGCATATTCCAGGGCTGCTCCACATCTCCACTTGTCTCGCTCTTTACCCTAGCTACCTGGGTCTCAGACCTGAACCTCCCAGCAGCTGTCATTAGTGCTGAATGTCACATATGGCTGCCAAGTCACGCCAAATAGACCCCATCTACTATGACAGCTCTCATATTTCACTAGCCCTCTCAGGGAATAACAAAACAACCAAGCTTTGCATTAAACTTTGTAACAATAATGCTGTGAAGACAAAGCATTATGCTGCTGGAGGAAATAGGGATAAATGTTAATAATACTTGTGGTTTGTAGCTCATTTTTCATATTCTAGTATGGATAAAAAAGATGAGTTTTAAGCAATTAAATGGATAAACAGAAACAAGTTGCACACTAAAGCAATATTAAAAACAAAATTGTTAGGCTCTTCTGTCATGTGCATTAAACTCTCCCTTTAAATGACTTGTGAAAACTGTTGTTTTCCAACTGATCACGCTGTCCAAGAGTCCATCCTTGCCCGTAGGGTTCAAAGCATTAAAGCCACATGAAAGCAAATACATTGCTACAGAGGCAACAACTGAGGACAATGACTGTTAGCGCATAGCTCCCAGGTTCACCACTGCACAGGCTAGGTGATTGAACCTGAGGTGTAATTACATGGCAGAGGACTGGATGTGAGGTTGTTGGAGAGGGAGGGAAACCAAACAACATACATGTATAAAGACAAAGAAACTGATTTCTGGGGGGGAATGGAAGCTTTGCTAGGAGTCCAATTCAAGCCAGCCAAGTTGAGTCACATCATAAACTGAAACAGAGTCCTCATTTCCCTGGTGGACGTGGGCTACTAGAAATAAAACCAAAATAGATTAAAACATTATAACTACCAGCAGGCACCCACACTAAAACCACTGCAACACATGTGGCCTCTGGTTTAGTTTAGTGCTCTACTTCCAGAGGAAAAAATAGATCTCCCTGTGCACCTAATATATACTGATGAACATTCAGTCAATACTCCAAATCTCTGAAAGCGAGCACAGTCAAAGTTGGACTTACAGTATTGTGCAATTAGTGTGTGGCAGTGTTTGTATGCATATAGATGTGCACACACTCAGCTGCGATCTCTGGCTTTGTTCTGAGATTACAAAGATTGTTTTTTGTCAGTGTGGGTGTATCCAACTGTGACAGGCTGCTTGGCTCTGCTCTGTTCTTTGTAAAGCCTGGAGTGTCCCATAGGAATGGAGCTGCACTGAGAGCAGCTTAGCGCCCCTGTTCACCTCTTGACTTGGTTACTGATTTACAGACTACACTCAGGGCCAGACAAAACAAAGGAGTAGTCACATGGGTTTGGGAAGTGGTATTCAGCCACTTACCTCATTGTTATTCTTTCAGAGATCACATGGTTTATATGTGAAGGAGTCCAAAAAAGATAGGAGGCTTAGCATTTGCCCCTTCTTCTCAAACCAGTTGAACTGAAGTCATGTTCCCACACTGAGTGGAGAGTTGACTTCCAACAAACAGGAAACAAACAAATAGGTTGCTGAAACAAACAAATAAAAAAAGTTTTAATCTCTTAATTTGTTAAATGTGTGCCATATATACAGTACTACTGATATACTATATGGTGCATGTGTATGACTGACCATATCGCCCCATGTATTTTCACTCCCTTTATTTCTTTTTCACAAGCCACATGGAAACTGATGCTGATCCAAACAATACATTGTAAAATTAGCAGATCGGCCACAGATGAGGACATCCAAATGTCATGTTGTATGAATGAATATGCCTTCTGGATACAAAGATCATTTGCCACTCATCAAATGGAGTCATGCTTGTTTCACAACTCCCATATGGATTTTGTATACTCATCTGTCAGAATAACACATTTCAATCTATTAACTTGACATAATCATAAAGAGGCTCAGTGTCACTTGTGATTACAGTGCTGGTGCCTCGTGTGGCTCTTTACATTTGCCTGTGTCTGAAAGCAACAAAAGGGACATTAGTTCTGCAACTTGTTGCCCAACCAGCTTGTAGTTGATAGTTTAATTCATCAACTTCAGCATTTAATCTTGTCTTAGTCATTTGACTTGGTAGACTGCAGTGATTGACCACAGATTTAAATACTAAAATAAAACCATCTTTAAAAGCTCAAAAGCTGTCGCACAAATTTAGAGGCATGTGTGTCATCAACAAAATCATTTTTATTATAAAACCCTTGTTATTGTGCACATGCTGTAACAATAAGATACATGGTAACTTCATTAACTATGATTTTTATACTGAGAAATCAAGTGAAAATCAGACAAGATGTGTCTTTTGGCTATACAACTCTCCGCCATGACAGTCTGCTACTTACGATCTGTTGTTACTCCAGATTCTCTACCCGATGTTGTCAAAATACAGTCTGTAAATTAGCCCCGCCTGCCACCTAGCAAAGGTTATTAACAAGCATTTTTTGAACTTTGAATAGTCATGTCAAATAGCGAGATATGTCAAAACCAGGAACATTAAAGTAAACAGATTGAGATGCATGCAACACAGTCATAACTATGCTTTGATGTAAACAGAATGCTCATCGAAGAGGAACTGTAGGCACTCATTTAAACAACTGGTTTGAGAAATACTGTATACAACATGAAAGGACTGCATAAATCCCTTCATCTGCTGCCAACCTTGAATCTGTCTCTCTCTTCTGTCAACCTAGTTTATTTTAACACTTAACACTATGGGTCCTTCTTGGTGCTCATCAGCTGCCATTCCTTCAGCGCCTGCAGGAGCGTGGCTCTTAATTATGATGGATTAGACTGCAGCTCTTTGTGTCTGTGCACTGCAATTGTTTTGCAGATGCTGTGAATGTGATATGCATTAAAAACAGGGGGCAGCAGAGAGAAATCAATGTTCTACTTGAATCTAATTATTTTTGGCAGAGAAAGCAAAATGAAACCATAGGATCACCTTGCTGCCTAACCTTCTGCAGAAATCTTTTTTTCCCCATACACTATGAATATTACCTTGTTACTACTACTTTGTTTCATCTATTGTGGTACTTTTTAGATTTACTACATGACACAAAGTCACAGCTTTCATTTTGAGATAATAGCTTTCAAAAGAAAGCACACATACTGGCATGGACTCCTCATACTCAGCACTGAGAATGTGACCACTGAGGACACCTTTTGTTATTCTGTGCATGTTAAATTCAAAATGGTGACACATAGTCTATTGTCAGACAAAACAGACTGTATTTTACTCTAGTCTGTATACTCATCTCCTTCTACACTTTCTACTGGCTGCCCATTTAGAGGATGACGTCAGGGTGAATCTAATTGTGACAGGATCAGGTGATACACATGAAATCAGTGAAGTTGGTGTTCAAGGACTAAAAAGATGGGGCTTCCTGAAAAAGAATTAGCTAACCTTAAACAATTTCATAGACTAACCACCACTTAACTGGCTACTGATATTCACAAACCTTAATAAGAACATTATTTCAAATCAGTAAAAATTTTAGTTGACCATATAGTCACCTTATAATCCAGTCCTCCAAACAAATCAGTTAAATTCCGTATGTCCTACTGTTGGCCCATTTAGCTTGTGCCTGTTATAAATGTTCTACAGTAGCTTAATAATTGTATTTCTTTGTGCATAATAAATTATATTTAAATGTAACCTGTACAGAACATTTTACGGTGTCGATTTTTCCACGTTCACTGAGTGGGGATCTGCATGTGAACAAAACATAATTTTCCCTTAACACAGCAATTTGTATTACATAGCATAAAACTGAAAACATAACTCTGTTTAAAGACAAAAGATTTATCTGCCACTTTCTGTTTTGCAGGACAGACAAAGGGCAGCCCTGTGGATGGACTCTGAGCAGGCCAGATGGAAACAGAAGAGGCCAGACATGAGACGGAAGAAAGTTTGATATTGGCACAATTTGGCACATCTCGCAACATCTCTCACAAACTACAGAATGGAGGTCCTTCTTCAGAGGGAGACTCTCAGGAGATCACTGGGGATACAAACTGGAACCATTTCAAGCCCAGTGCAGATGCCAGCTCCATGAAGAGGCACAGAGAGAACTGCAACAACTCTGCTTCAGGGCAAAGGCTTTTTGATCAAGGGTCCTACACGATGAATAGAAAATTGATCAATGGAGAGTTGAAGCATGGACTCACTGAACAGTCCTTAGTTGTCCACCAACCCAAGAAGCTAAAAGTAGATTCTGAGATTAAAGGAAATGGCAACATAGGATCCCCTTTGGTGGACAACATTTCTGAGCTGACAAAAGCAGCAGGGTTTGAAATTAAGTTAGACAAGCAGAACAGCAATTTTCCTAATGGAGATATTTTCTGTCTACCAAGGAATAAACAAGTTTCACTTCTAAATGGTGCTATATCACCACCCTCAACCATTGAAAGTACCTCAGGTGATTTGTTAGAGCAAACTTTGTCTCAGTATTATCCTGAGCAAGTATCAATTGCACCACAAACACCTGGGTCACAATTAGATGGTGTCAATGGTTCACTGGCAAATAAGCTGCCCAGTGAAGGTGCTAAACATTGCTCTATAACCTCAGGGTTGCCCAATTCAGGTCAGATGCCTGACTCACAGCAAGAACAGCCTGGGGCATCTGGTAATAATGAAGGAGGTAACATTTACAAATCATCTTATGTAGTGAATGGACACTCCAACAATTTTGGAGCAGACCACCAGCAGCAACAACAGCATCAGCAGCAGCCCCCACTTCACTCTGGTCAGGAGTTGTCCCTACGTCAGCTGCCTGGCATAATGTCACCAACACATACTGCCAATAGTTTACACCAACATCAAAATGGCCCACAGTGTTATTCAGGTGACAAAAATCCTCAAGGTATATATGCAAATGCCAACCAGGAGTTTAACCAGAATTCTTTTTTGGAGTGTAATGCTCCTATACAGTCAGCAGAGGCAGGTGGATATGGGCTCTTTCCCAACTCTGGACTACAGAAACTGGGACAAAGTGAGGAGCCCGGGTCTGGTCAGCATCATGGCACTGACAAGGGCCATCAGTATGGGATTCAACCCAAGAACTTTACACCAAATACTAGGAACTCATGTGAAGCTGACAGTACAGGAAATATGAGGCCCAGTCGCCAGCAGCCACTTCATGCTGAGTTAAAAAATGGGCTGGAGAACACACCTCAACAGAGCGGCAGCTTATCATGTTCAACTACCCACCAGAGAGAATGGATGGAGCTGAACTCTTCACATTCCCAGCAGGAAACAGCAAGTGGCCCAGCATCTCAGGCACATGAGCAGGACATATGGAGAGGCTTCCCTGCTAAGCCCCAGTCTGAGCAGAAGACAGCTAACCCCCATGGCCAGATGTTGGAGGAAAACCCACGGCAAAGATTCCAGACACTGGGGGGTCCACAAATGGCATCAAGGGATCTAGCACCCTCGAGGAGCAGCAGGAAGGTCTCCCAGCTCAAACACCCTGTGCTCCAGTCCAGCACAACACTGCCCCTGAGTGGCAACAGTCAAATTCTAAAGCACCTCAAATGCAGCAGCCTCTAGCCCAGAAAATGCCTGAGCAGCATAACTTTACACAAAATCAGCAGGCAGACAGTCACTGCCACACCCAGATGCAGTCCGAGCACTTATGCGAAGACCCTGACATGCAGGATATACTGTCACCTGGGTTTTTAGCAACACAGCAACAGCAGCACTGTCATCTTTCACTGCCCCACCCATCACAGTTTGAAGGGCAGCAGCTCAAATCTCCCAGTTATAGACCTCACAGTCAGCCTCAGCCAGATCAGCAGCAGCTTCAGCCTAACCAGCCTCTGAGAAACAATTATTTTCAACCCAACAAACAACATATCCAGCACAGCAACCAGGCAACATGTAGTTACAATAACCCAACAGACATGCAACTACAACATCAAAGGCAGTTTCCACCAAACTCATGCAGCAATAACCTCAAGCAATTTCAACCACAGCAGCCTAAAAACCACTGCCACCAGTCCAACCATGTAGACTTTCCCCAGACCTCTACACAGTCACAACCTCATCTACCACAAAGTGTGTTAAACCAACATGTATCAACACAGATGTATCCTAAAGCTGAACAGCAGCTAAAGACATCATGCACGCAGTTTCAAAGGGGACCTCAACTACCTCAAGAACCTGTAGGTCCCCATGGAGACTTTCAGAAGCATGCAGCCCTTCGTATGCACCTGTTACAAAAGCAGGAGCGCCAAGGCCCTCTTCATTCTCCTAAGCGCACTAGTGACCCCACATACAGCAAGAGAGCTGTGAAAATGGAAAATGAACCCAGATTTGAGCTGCCCGGTCCACAGCAGCAGCAGCAGCAGCAGCAGCAACAGCGGATACAGATGCAAGAGCCAGGTATAGGTGGAATGCAAGTCAAGCAGGAAAATCAATTGTCCCTGTGTGACGAAAGCAAGAGACAAGGAAGCATCTTGGCCTCTATGGAACAAAGCCTGAGGCAGTACCAGCTTTCACCTGTGTTTAAAAAAAAATCCATTACCATCAATTCATCAAATAAAGTCAAGGTAGAATCTTGTGGGCCTGTAACTATCCTTTCAACCAACACTGACTTGAATGAAGTGGAATCACCAGCAGCTGCCTCAGCCACTGTAGCTCTAAAAAAATCACCTGATTCTACCTCTAAGAAGGAGCACCTCCTACAAAGCTTTATGGACTCTCCTATGAAGCTGTTGGATACCCCTTTAAAGAATCTCTTGGATACCCCCATGAAAACACAATATGACATTGCATCCTGCCACTGTGTTGGTGAGTCTCATGATGTTGGCTGTGAAACAACACATACACAAGCGCACTTCAACCATTGTATATATACAAAAAAGAGCGATAAGAATTGTGCATAAGATGGGGTATAGGGATCACACCATTGGAGCTTTCATACAGTCTAAATTGTTAAACTTTTTTGATTTAGTGAGATATAAGACTGCTGTGTTTATGTATAAAGCCAGGAACAATTTATTACCTGGTGGAATTCAAAAACTATTTAATGAAAGGGAAGGGGGATACAATTTAAGGGGTCAGTTAAATTAAAAAATTCAGGCTATACGTACAACCAAAAAAAGATTTTGTATTTCTATAAGTGGGGTAAAACTATGGAATAATTTAAGTGTGGACATAAAAAATCTTTAGTATATTACTTGTGTGGTGTAGAAGAGAATAGAAGTGAATCATTTATTGCTTGCAAACCAATGATGGTAAGATGATGTCATGGGGTAGGACTGGATAAGTCTGACTTCTTCCTACTCCATTCAAGCATGTACTAGGTATAAGCAAATTGATATTGGATTATGTGTAAAATTATGTGTGTTGTCATATCAACTGTTTTTACATGCTTGAAAGAATAAATCAAATCAAATCAAACATGACTGATCAGCTGGTATGCAAATATGAATTTTTGGTCCTTTATGATATTTAGAACAAATCTGTGAGAAGGATGAAGGCCCATACTACACTCACTTGGGATCAGCGCCTACTGTGGCCGGTATACGGGAGTTGATGGAGAACAGGTTAACCACAAATTTGACCTCTCAAAAAATTACTGCAAACATAACTGTTGTGTACTATTTTAATTGCCTCTATGCTGCTTTGAAGGTCTGGTCTAACTGGTCGTGCCATCAGGATCGAGAAAGTAGTATACACCGGCAAGGAAGGAAAAAGCACACAGGGCTGTCCAATAGCCAAATGGGTAAGAACCATTTTTTCCATTCATTTGAGAAATAGGCAAATCAGCTGCCCTTATATCTGACTCAAATACTGTATCTGCATATGAAAAAATACCTATATCTGTCATGTTTCAGGTGATTCGTCGATCCAGTGTAGAAGAAAAGCTACTGGTGTTGGTAAGGGAACGTGCTCGTCACACATGTGAGACAGCCTGCATCATTGTGGTAATCCTCTTCTGGGAGGGCATCCAGCCGAGTCTGGCTGACCGCCTCTACGCCGAGCTGAGCGAAACTTTAACAAAGCATGGAGCCCTCACCCAGAGACGCTGTGCTCTCAATGAGGAGTAAGTTATAACACTACAGAACTCAAATCTGGCTGTGAGCTACAGCAGTTTATAACTAAACACAGAAATTAAGATGATCACAGTAATTGTTTTTATTATACAAAATCCATGTCACCTTATTTAATTTTGGGATTTTATTTTATCTTCAATTCCCAGTTTGTTCCTCAGTCATCAATTTTGGCTACCACTGCATTAATCTAGGCAACAATGACACACTTAAATTTTTTGTTCTCCTTCAGGAGGACCTGTGCATGCCAGGGGTTAAATCCTGACACCTGTGGAGCATCCTTCTCTTTTGGTTGCTCCTGGAGCATGTACTACAATGGCTGCAAGTTTGCCAGGAGCAAAATCCCAAGAAAATTCAAGCTACTAGTAGATGATGCAAAAGAGGTATGTCATATAAATGTAAAAAGAAAGACATACACACACACACACACACACACACACACACAATGTGCTCTATAGTTACATTAGGATATAGCATTTAAAGCAACTCATGACTGGTCATTTTGTTTTTCAGGAAGAGAAAATAGAAAACAACTTTCAAAATCTAGCAACCTTATTGGCTCCCCTGTATAAAACTTTAGCACCTGAAGCTTATGGAACCCAGGTGAGTATATGTGGACATTGTACAGACTGTTCGTCTAGCTGCATGTATGTCTAATTTGTTCAAAGTAAATACATAAAATGAAAATGTCCTATTTCCAATAGGCACAATTGATTTTCCAATAAACCAATTGTGTTTTTAAGTCACATATACATTAATAACATCAGTGATGCAACATCCACGCAGAAATTCGTTACCAACAGTAGGTTAAAATTTACTATGTGGATGTTATTTTTGAAATTATCTACATGATAAAGTGGTTTAGTAAAGATTTCTCACCCATCTAGTTCAGTGACATTCAGAAACTAAACTATATTTTACCTCCTGTTGTTTTACCTGAACACAGGTGGAACATGAAAACAGGGCACCAGATTGTCGTCTGGGGGTCAAAGAGGGCCGTCCCTTTTCTGGGGTCACTGCTTGTCTGGATTTCTGTGCCCATGCTCACAGAGACCTCCACAACATGCAGGGTGGTAGCACTGTGGTAAGCAGAACCCAGAAAATGTACATTTCTAAGTTTGCTGTATTTGTTTGAGGATGGAATATATACAGAAGTGGAAACCGCACAGTGAGCTATGAGATAAGTGAATACAAAAAGTAGACTTGTTATTTAATGTCCATGATTTGCCCACAAAAAGCATTTAACTCACCCTTTCCAGGTTTGTACATTAACAAGAGAGGATAACCGAGAGATTGGAAAGATACCAGAGGATGAGCAACTCCATGTCCTGCCACTTTATAAGGCTTCAAATACAGATGAATTTGGCAGTGAGGAAGGTCAGCAAGAGAAAATCAAGTCAGGTGCCATACAAGTCCTCAGTGCCTTCCGCCGCCAGGTGCGCATGCTTGCAGAGCCAGCCAAATCTTGCCGGCAAAAAAAGCTGGAAGCTAAAAAGGCAGCTGCCAACAAGAATGCCATGCTGGACAGCTCTAATGATAAGACAGAGAAGGCCCTGGCCAAGTCCAAAGCCAGCACTTATGAGAATACCACTCAGAGCACTCATATGGCAGGTAAGGTAACATTTATTCTGATGCATTTTATAAACTATATCTTAAAAATGTTGCGTCTCAGTAGCGACATTTTACCAGCATATTAAAGTGACACTGAAAAAGCCAAGGCCAATGACTTAATCAGATGTGATACCTACATGATTGGAGATTTGTGTATTTTTTCCACTGTTGCTTAGGCCTTTATTTTTTGTGGGGGGGTTGTTTTCCAGGACCTATTCCAGGTGTTGTGGGAGCAACCCTACAGGCAGGTCAGCCAACACACCCCCTTGGGGCCCATCCTCAGCAACAACAGCACCAGAACATTCTTCCTTGTTATCCTGGCTCAGCAAATGCAGCCGTCTACCCCAGGTTCCCCAACCACCCTGGGTCTTTTCCAAGTACTTCCAAGCAAGGCAGCATGTATCCTCCTCGGCCATCGACACCAGGCAGCCCTTATACCTCCCGGTTCCAGGTACCAAACTCATGTATTAATGGATCAAACCAAGGTTACCAATGTAGTGGAGGAATGCCCTTAGACAATTACCATCCATACTATGCTTCAAACCCAAAGCACCTGGACATGTATCGACAACAACGGCCAGCACTTTACTCAGAACAGCAGTACAGTGCACATGGACATTATGAGTTCAATTATCTGCCAAGGTATGGTGAGCCAGGTTTGCAGGTCAGTGGTTACAATGCTTGCAACATGAGACCAGTTCACAGCATCAGACCTTACACCCCTTATGGTTCTAATGTAGCCTCAGAATCTCAGTTTATAGACCCCCTCTCAAGAGCACCCTCAGCCCATGGAGGTCTAGACTATACAGCTTCTGTGAGTAAAGGTGGTCAATTTGGAGGTTATTCAAATCCATACCTCTCTGGGAGCTGTCAACTCTTACCCCCAAGCCTTTCCCCAGACTCTTTCCATATGCAAATCAAGACAGAGATGGGCATGGCTGGCCCACAGATGCTTTCTTCTCAGTTAAGTAGTGGCTGTTTAAACCATGAAATGCAATCAGGGTTAGGTCTGCATAATGGGAATCTCATAGGCTCTGGCATTAAGCAAGAACCAGGAACACCACAGACAACCACGACACCACAAAAGCCCGAGGTGTGGTCAGACAATGAGCACAACTTCTTGGACCCTGACATTGGTGGTGTGGCAGTGGCACCAAGTCATGGCTCAGTCCTCATTGAGTGTGCAAAAAGGGAACTCCATGCCACAACGCCTATTAAAAATCCAGACCGCAATAACCCAACACGTATCTCCTTGGTTTTCTACCAGCACAAAAATATGAATGAGGCCAAGCATGGTTTGGCACTGTGGGAAACCAAAATGGCAGAGAAGGCTCGAGAAAAGGAGGAAGACGCAGAAAAGAATGGTGGTGAGGGGACACCTAGCAAAGGTGGCAAGAAGGGGGTAAAGCGTGATCATTCAGAGTTATCAGAAATCACTGGGGAACCTCCTTACAAGCGTTTTATCCAGGCACTAACGGAGAGGTCCTTGTCATGTACAACAAATACCCATGTCAGTACATCTCCATATGCCTTCACCAAGGTCACAGGGCCTTACAGTCACTTTGTGTAGAAAATACAAAGTTCATATGCACCACTGGCCTTGTCTAAACACCCCTTCCTATCTGTAAGGTCAGCAACAGTATTGGGTAGACCTTTCACACCAGGTCTTTTCACCTCTTTAATACTTGAGCTTTACTAGTTGACCCTACAAAGGATGCATTTATTTTTGTCTGGCAACTTTTGCTAGATACGCTGTCAAAATCCCTGGTGCTTTTAGTCTGATACACAAGGACCTATTTTTTTACTGGAAACAAAAGTTTCATTTTTTGTGGATTTATTTTTCTTACACAACTTTAGAGATGTAATCTTAGCATAAAACACTGACCTTGTAAATGACAACATTCGTGGTGCTAAAATACGTGCTTATTATATTTTAATTCAAATGTCTTCACACTATAACATAACACACTGAACAACTAACACTCAGTGACTAACTGTATGGCAATGGAAATATCATCCTACTGTCATATCATCAGCATCATGATGGACTTTGGCAAGTCGGTGCTTTCTAGAGCAATTTTTTGATAATGAGATTGAAATGTTTTGGCAATACCTTTAAATCATAAAATGTGGTTATACTGTATCACTACACTGACAGTAGTTGATTTTTAAGCATCAGTAAAATTAAATTCATCAATATATAACAGACAGTTGTATGAGCAACCCATGAAAATGTTTTGTTTATGAAAAAGCAGTATTTTTAAAACTACCCTGCTGTTGGTGCTTCTTTCACTTTCATGTCATCTTTACTGTAAATTGAGCCATTCTAATGGTGCATTTTTAACATTTTGTGGAATACAATCTACATGTTTGGTTTAATTTACTGTTTCCCAGGTTTACTTTGTCTGCGACTGTTTTTAGTGTTCCTTACCGTAGGTTCATTGAACAAACCTGGACTGTGAATTACATGTAGTTTTATGTCTGTGATGCTTAGTGAATGCCCTTTTTATACACTGAGGAACATGAAACAGGGTAAGCTCAGTGTCAGTGAGGGCAGCTGGCTTGCCGTGGGGTCTTTAATTATTTTAATCTAAGTGTAAGATAAACAGGTAAGATTTGTACAGTAAATTAATTTCCCTTTTTGAAATCACTGTTATAATTTTTTTGTTGTAAAGAATGCTAGCCTTTTTCATTGTATTTCATAAGGTGCTATTCAACCTACTAGAAATATACAATGTTAAGATTCTTTGGGCAGTGAGAAGGCTTTTTTAATAATGTACAGTCCAAACCTGTCATATACCTCAGAACTAGTTTGGCAATAGTAATATAAGACATTTACTTTTCTTCTTTTGTATAGAACTTTCAAAATGTTTCAGACCACCAAAAGACGTTCATTTTTTACTTTCTTATTAATCTGCTAGAAAGTATTACTTGAACTTGAATCTTTGATATTAGTATAAAATCAGGGATGTTTCCAACTGATTTTGCATACATCTTTACAGCCTGTATCTTTTGCTCATTCAGGAAAAATACTTTCTTGGCATATATTTTCGATAGCAGGATGTTGATAATCTTCTAAAAGTAATTTGACCATATATGCCCTGAACTGACCTAAAGGGACGACGTGATATTGACCAAGTTAAAAGTACAACAGTACAGTTCAATTTAATTATCACCACTAAGCAAATGCATAATGATTTTTTCTTCCCTGCTCATTTGATTTAATTATTGTGATGTAAAATGGAATGATTGTCATGTTACAGTAACAACTCACCCCCCACATGTTTTGATAGCACTTCTTTCTTTCTTTATTTTTTTTATGAGAAAATGTGATAAAGAATTGCAAAATGTTTTATTTAAACAGAGTTAAATGTGTTTAAAAATAAATTATGTCACATTGTATATAACAAGAATTTGAATTACATAAACACAACTCATTCTTTGATGATATATAGGGGTTGTTGTTTTTGTCAAACTGACCCACAGCCTCTCTATTAGCTATCCTAATTATATCTTAGAATATCTTTTCGCTTTTTCTGGTCAAGAAAATGACCATGGTTAAATTATTTAGGAACTCTTTGTAAATACTACCCTCACTGGCACAGCAGTGTTTACAGCTATAGTATACTGTTAGTACTAGTTTCTTTTTTTTACTGTTCCAGTTTTCTAAAATAAATCTACATAAAAAAAAAGTTTAATTTCATTGTATAAAAGCCAGCTATAGTAGCGAGTTGTGATTGAGAAAGCTGAGGTGTCTAAGATACAGCAGGTTAAACGCATAGCCATACTTGAAGATGCTTCAGAGTGTTTCTTCGTGCTTCAACATTACTTGAATGATTTTTTGGGCTTAAGTGCACTATATGTGTTCAGCTCAAAGGTTAAGCTAGCAGTTGATAAACACTTTTTTTGCAGTTCTACACTAAAACTATAACAAAAAGTGCAACTTTTTGCTTCTCATTTTCTTTTTAAGGCTTCTCTTGTTTTCCTGAAGTTTGGTTTGCTACAAAAAATGGAAAAACGAATGGGTAATTACTGTAAGTATTGTAATCTATTGAATGCAGTTTATCTGAAAGCTGTTTATTATATCATTCCTGACATTGCTGAGATTTGGGTGTTTTTAAAAAATAAAATCTTTATTTATTTAAATCACTGAATTGTTACTCCAAGTTAATAATAATTAACATGCTATTTTTAACACATTGAAGATTTTAATTGTGCAATTAGTGAAAGGAGATCTTGTCATCTTCATGTCTTAATTTTATTTACCAAAACAAAAAAACAAATGTTTACTTGGTACATACAAATTGTATTTTGTTTGTGGTTGCAAGTACAAATTGATTATAGCCAGAAATTATAGCCAAATCAGAGGCAATTAACATGACTTTCAGTCTTAGAGGCTGGACCTGGTCATTAGCCACAAAAATATTTCAAAAGAAATAGAGCATACAATTCCATTTAATAGTCATAAATAATCACAATGATTTTTTAATTAACCTCCATGTTAAAATAATTGGTATCAGCAGCAACGGAAGAATTTGGCACCCAAAAAGCCAGCTCACTTGTGGTTCTTCACTCAACAAAAGTACAGATCACTGGCTCATATTGCCAGTGTACCTAATGTTTTTTTTTCTTTATCCATTTTCAACAAATTGTTTGACGGTAAACCTAAATGGTACTTTATACAGCTAAAAACGAGTCCTTACCAAATATAAATCCAGCTGCATACAAAACATGCAGCATTATTGGTACTGCTTCTACGATGCTAGGAAGTGTTGTTGGTTTCCATATTGTCTTTGGGGTGTCAGACAAAATGCCACTTGTCCGCTGTACAAGAAAAGATTTTTAATGGCATTAAAATATATGATTTAAAGCATATAACAAGTCAAACAAACCACATTTAGTGTGAGTCAGTGATCATTTACTTACTATCTGGAGACACAGGATGTGCGCTACCAAATGCAGGGGCCTGAAGAGTCACAAGATACAGCATACAGGAAAATGACCGACTTAACCCTAGTAGAGTTTTATATGCTACGTATCATTGCATTTGCCATCATCAACAGCATATGGATGTTCTTACCGATTGGACCACATGTCTGGCCTCCTCGTCACTGCATTTGAAAGGGCTCTCACAGCAAGAGATATTTTTGCTGGACAAAGAAGGATTGTCCAAATTTAAAAATGATGACACTTACACAACCAATTATAAATCTGTATATTACACACACTTACTGTTCCTCCACCAACTCACCATTCAATCCCTGCACTATTTATCTGCTTCTGCACTAGTGCCCTCCAGTGCTCATGGGTGGACTTAATGATCTCTACTGCAAAGGCCTAAAAACAGGACAAAGAACATGAGAGACATCATTAGAATTTTTTAGGATGCAAACCATTTGAGCTACTGAAATTGCAATGGACTGCAGCACCACATACTGTATGTAGTATTACAAAGGTCTCAGTACCTTGTCTTTAAATTGTCCATTGAATCCAAATTGGTTCTCAGGCTTTCCATCAGGCACCTTATATTTCCTAAACCAGTCGACAGTGGCCTCTAAATGACCAGGTCGGCTCTTAAAGACATCCTCTATGTCTAAGCAAAAGGCAAAACACAAACATATTCGACAGAATAAGAGCAGAGGAATGGTAAGGTAGCACGGACAGGGACAGAAACAGACTTAACAAGCTGGTTAAGAAAGCTGGATCTGTCCTGGACTGCTCTCTGGATTCCATCCAGGAGGTGGCGGACAGAAGGATGCTGGCAAAACTAACATCCATCATGCATAACCCCTCCCATCCCCTGCACCACACAGTGGAGACTCTGAACAGTTCTTTTAGCACAAGATTGCTACATCCCCAGTGCATGAAAGAGCATTACTGTAGGTTGTTCCTCCCCACAGCAATCAGACTGTACAACACATCACTGCAGTGATAAGATAGGTGAAATTATGAGGGACTATGCAATAGTCAACTGAGGTGCAATACTCAAATGCATTGTAAATATGCACATATGTAAAATCTTGTTCTTGATTTCTCTCAAATACTTTATATTGTCTTGTTTTAGGTATTTTTGAGTAGTCTTTCAGAGATCCTCATGGATTGTGGGAGGATCATTCTTGTTCTTGATTGTCTCTCAAATACTATATTCTGTTTGGTTTTAGGTACTTTGGAATTTATTTCCCAAGATATGTGTGTGGTGTTTGTTCTTATGGTGTTTTGTTGTTGCTCTTTATTGCTGCTGGAACACAGGAATTTCCCCATTGTGGGATCAATAAAGTCCTGCCTACCTACCTAATTATATAATGGCTCCTACAGGGCAGCAACACCCCATTAAAACAAAGTAAAGATGATTTTACTGTACTTTGCAATTGGTGTAAACAAAGCAGGTTTGAAAATATTCAGAAACAGGCTTTCTGATGCATGTGTTTTGGAGAGAAATGTGTTTTGGAGAGAAACATTTAATGTAAACAAAACTATGTTGACAATGAAAACCTCACAGGGTATGTTCTAGGTTGCTGTTTCAATTTCAAAGAGCCAAGCTGAAGTTACTGTCTGAGCTGCCAACCATTTCAGTGAATTTCTGGGTTGTGTCTACAAACATTTCTTTCCAAATTCAATCACTTAAATCTTAACTGGACAGTATAAGGTGCATTAATACATTATTAATAATATGTGGTCAAATGCTAATAAGACAGCTCATAGTTAAAAGCTCTGCATTTCTTCCATTGTATTATAAGGCATTACATTTGGACTTGAATTTGTACCTTCCATGAATTATGGTCATGCAGGTTTTCCTGGACTAAATTTCTTTAAGGGAGAAGTTGGATCAGTTCAAGGCAGTTTCTATTATTTGAGCTGTGAACACCCACTATTCAGGTTTTTGGCATCTGGGTCCTTAGCATTGATAGCGATGACCTTCCAGTCCATTTCTCCCTCATCAATCATGGCCAAGATGCCCAGCACTTTCACTTGGATCACCTGACCTGGAAAACACACCTGAAGAACAGACCAACAAATTACAAACAGTCAAATCAATCAATCACACAATACTGAAAGTTATCTCTGAAAAGCAAATATAAAATAATTGGAAAACATTCTAAAATAATATAAATTATACATTTAGATATAATTTGTTATAGAACCAGAAAACCTCAAGCCAGTCTTACCTGTGTGCCGATGTCACAAACATCAATGGGATCATTATCACCGCAACATGTTGTCTCTTTGTCTGTGTGGTTTGGATCCTCCCATGTCTTTTCAATAGAATAGTCAAAAACATAAGAATTTTTTTTAACTAACATTTTAATTGAATAACTGAATGAATGAATGAATAAATAAATAAATGACTATATAATGGACTCATAAGCTTAAAGAAACCAGACTAAACATGAATAATGAATTTTATGAACACAAAATGAACGTGATGGACATATATACATAAAACTCTAAGTATCAATGGCTTAGGGTTTGATGTAATCCAGGCCCTTCAAACCATGTACTTTCCTCACCTGTGGGAGTGCCCCATAGTTCCAGATGTAACCTTTATGGGGAAATATGTTGGCAACATATCGGAGCTTGCCTTTCTTTACATCTTGTTTGATTGGATTCAGGAGTTCCTTTGTTGCAATCTGGGAAATGAAATGAAGCAATTATGAAACTGTATATATGTATACATATGTACATACAGACAGACAGACATCTGTGTAATTACATCAGCATTAGCATGCATGCTTTTACTAGCATTAAAGCCTATACTGTATTTATACTTACCTCCATTTTAGCATTTGACCATCGAGGTACCTCCACAACCATGTTAAAGAGCACCTGAATACAAAGAGGAAAGTTATATACAGTATGTGCTGGAGTGAAAGTTTTGTTGTAAAACTGACATCAAATATTTGAGTCTGACAGTACCTCAACCTCATTCTTCTTGGGTTTTTTAGCTGGCACATCATTGTCCTGTAGACAGAAAAAAGAATCTGAGAATCGGTATCTTGTCTATGCAGTGTCATGATTCGGTTCCGCTGCTTCCTGTCCGGCTTTTATTTTGACGTTACTTCCTGTTTTTGTTTCACCTTAGTTTCAGTCTTTTTGCATTCTTCATCACTCACATTGGTTTCACCTGTTTTGTTATTGTTTGCACCTCTATTTAGGCAGCGTCCTCCCACCAGGACGCTGCCACATTGTTCTAGACCCCAGCTCTGACTTTCCAGCATTCTCTTCGGTATTGGTATTTTTGTGTTTCTGACCCGGACTGCTTCCTTGGATTATTCTGTTCTGCCTTGCCCTCTTACTTCGGACTGCTTCAGTGTATCGGCTTAACGGACTTATCTTTGGACAACGCGTTTTGGATTCCCGGTGGCTTTAATCAATCATTACACTGTATAATAGCTGACTGACACAGTGAAGAAACTGGGTTATATCAGCAATATCATGTATGTATGTATCAACAATACAGATAGGACATGACAAACTATTCCAAAATAAGGCCAGGGAGGTAAAAAAGAAAAAAGTCTGCTTATTGACCTGCTGTATGTATACATGATTTGCAGTGCAGAGGTTATAGTAGAGCGTCACAATTATGGCAAAAATCATAATGACGATTATTTTGATCAGGATAACATGATTACTCACCGACTTTGGAAACATCATGAATTTAGTGAACTTAAATTTTTTTTTTTATCTTAACATTGGTTTGGGAGACAAAATCATAGTAGAAATTAAATTACAACTAATTGCTCAGCCCTACAGTTTAGGTAAATACATTTTCTGATTACCTGGTCTCTTTCAGCTCTGACAGTTTGGATATTTTGTGTTAGTAGAGTCTGCTTATAAAATTCATTACCTCAATCAGTGTCTCAGGTGGCTTGCGTACCTGGGGAGGGGTCTCAAAGGCAGGATACACAGCAATCTCTGGCATGTTCCTATTGTTGATGTACTTATAGCAGTTCCACACACAGTTGATCAAGTACGCCTGGAAAGCAGAGCAATGACTGCATTTGTAATTGTATGATTAATCACACCATGTGACTAAACAGTAAACGGCTTCAGTCTCTGAGCCTGTTAAACCACACTGTCTTGTTTATATGAATTAAAAACATCAGAAGAACACGTTTTGACCTCACCACTTCATTAAATCCACATACAGGGAAGTATCAATGTTTTTAGATTTTGGCTTATATTAGTTTGCACGCTGAATAAAAAATTTTAACTACGACGCAAAAATTATTTCACCTTGAGGATGATGAGGAAGGCAAAGAAAACAAGCACAAACAGCAGCAGACAGCTTGAGTCCAGAGAGAGGAGGTTATCCTTGTATGGGAAATCCGGCTGAGGGAGAAAAGATAGTCATCCCACAGCCCTGCTTGCAAAACCGAAGAGCAAGCCAGGTATGGGCCCAGCAGACAAACACTGGGGACTGGGGGGCCTCGCCTACAGTGCCTTGCGAAAGTATTCGGCCCCTTGAACTTTGCGACCTTTTGCCACATTTCAGGCTTCAAACATAAAGATATAAAACTGTAATTTTTTGTGAAGAATCAACAACAAGTGGGACACAATCATGAAGTGGAACGAAATTTATTGGATATTTCAAACTTTTCTAACAAATAAAAAACTGAAAAATTGGGCGTGCAAAATTATTCAGCCCCCTTAAGTTAATACTTTGTAGCGCCACCTTTTGCTGCGATTACAGCTGTAAGTCACTTGGGGTATGTCTCTATCAGTTTTGCACATCGAGAGACGGAAATTTTTGCCCATTCCTCCTTGCAAAACAGCTCGAGCTCAGTGAGGTTGGATAGAGAGCGTTTGTGAACAGCAGTTTTCAGTTCTTTCCACAGATTCTCAATTGGATTCAGGTCTGGACTTTGACTTGGCCATTCTAACACCTGGATATGTTTAGTTTTGAACCATTCCATTGTAGATTTTGCTTTATGTTTTGGATCATTGTCTTGTTGGAAGACAAATCTCCGTCCCAGTCTCAGGTCTTTTGCAGACTCCATCAGGTTTCCTTCCAGAATGGTCCTGTATTTGGCTCCATCCATCTTCCCATCAATTTTAACCATCTTCCCGGTCCCTGCTGAAGAAAAGCAGGCCCAAACCAGGATGCTGCCACCACCATGTTTGACAGTGGGGATGGTGTGTTCAGGGTAATGAGCTGTGTTGCTTTTACGCCAAACATAACGTTTTGCATTGTTGCCAAAAAGTTCGATTTTGGTTTCATCTGACCAGAGCACCTTCTTCCACATGTTTGGTGCGTCTCCCAGGTGGCTTGTGGCAAACTTTAAACGACACTTTTTATGGATATCTTTAAGAAATGGCTTTCTTCTTGCCACTCTTCCATAAAGGCCAGATTTGTGCAGTATACGACTGATTGTTGTCCTATGGACAGAGTCTCCCACCTCAGCTGTAGATCTCTGCAGTTCATCCAGAGTGATCATGGGCCTCTTGGCTGCATCTCTGATCAGTCTTCTCCTTGTATGAGCTGAAAGTTTAGAGGGACGGCCAGGTCTTGGTAGATTTGCAGTGGTCTGATACTCCTTCCATTTCAATATTATCGGTCCTTCAGCAGCCGCCGCTGCAACCACCGTCTCCTGCCTGGCATCGCGGCCGCCCTTCCGAGTTGCCTGTCTGGTCTCCTGCCTGGCATCGCGGCCGCCCACCCGAGCGGCCTCTCCGGACTCCTGCCTGGCTCTGTTTTTCGGGGTCGCCCCATGGACTAGGACTTTGTTTTTCGGGTGGTTTTTCTATTCTTGTTCTTTTGCCTGTTTGGTCCAGGTTCCCCTTGTCAGTGTTGTGGTCCCTGTGGTTGTCTTGTTCTTTGGGGTTTTGTTTTTCTTTCTCCGCCATTTAATGAGTTCACCTAACACTTTTCGGCAGCATCGTGCGCCGTTTCTGACATGCAGTTTATTTAATAGCAAAAAGGAGTCATGAACTGTCTCCAGCGTTTATCAAACAGAAGCTAAAAACCTCCACTATTGAAAGAGTCACTGTACCTGTTCTGTTTCCACTATAAGTGGAATGTCATGGAATGGTGAAATGTATTTCCCTTCTGAGGTTTCTAAGAAAGGGAAAAAAAACAGTAAAAACACAAAACAAAACTATACACATGCGTGGCACAATAAAATCCCAGAAGAGCTTTTACTAAAGGTTACATGTTTATACGGCATATTAATATCTGGCCAGTACAGTTAAATGTATATAACTTACACCATTATAACAAAACAAGAATACTGTGGCTGCTAATCTTAACATGAGACAGAAATCCTAAAATTTTTGTTTTGGATTAATTGAATATTATGGCAAATATAGCATTTGAAGCATTGTTGAAGAAAGGTCCTGACAAACATCCTTTCATAAGTGTAGCTGTTTTTATCATACTACTACTGATATTTTAAGTACAAATCACTCTTCCCCAACAAAACAACTATGTGACCACAAAAAGTCAAGGTTTACTTCTTCTAGGGATTTCAATCACATCTCTTGGCTTTCCTTTGCAATAAGAGTTTGAGATACTGAGATACTGTAGGTCAGACTGACAAGAACATTCTTTGTGACAACTGAGGAAACTCCACCCACCAAGGAAGATTGTGAGATACAACTGAAAGAGAAAGTCTAGTGAGTTAGGCTTTTTTTGTCAAATAATTTCTTGTTTAGTTACAGGCACTGCCAGCTTGTTTATAGGAGGTTATTAAAAATAAATAACTTCTGTTGATTTACAGTTTGTATTGACTAATTATTCTGAGAATGATATATTGTTAACAGTTGTTAACATCTGGGAAACGGGTTATTTATTACAGCATTTCTGTTAAGTCACAAGAATCAGACTAAAAATAAGTTCAAATCGAAGCAGCAGAGGCCAAAATAATGCTACTTTAAGTCCCATGTATGGGTTGACCTGCAAAATAGTGGGTCCTGTTCCTCCCATGATGCAAGTGCATCTTTCATTACAACTTTCTGCCTGGTAAAAGCCCATATCTTTCAGACTCCACAGGCCTGTTCTCGAATTTGCTGTCTCCAAGCTCAAGCTGAGTTAACCCTGACTATAGAAAGCTTCATTCAAAGCCACAGAAGATACAGCTGTTACAACTAGTTAACTACAGTAGTATATTCCTCACAAGCGGTAAACTGAACCTGATGTGTAATTTCAGTGGAGTGCCCCCTCAAATGCTGTATAAATAAATATTGCAAGCACAATACCATTATAACATTCAAAAATGTGCTATTTTACAAGATATAGCTGCTCAGCTATGCTGCAAATACTGCATCACTATCATAGCTGGATTAACCTCCTGAGGGGCAGAAATTTGATTTTGTGCTTCAGGGAATAACGATAGGCCTTTCCCGACTATTCCTTAACATTTTATAGCCAGAACCCATCACAGTTGATAATGTATAGCTAAATTTTAATAGGCTACTGTTGAAGGGGAAATACCTGTTTCTCTCTTTCCTGGTGGGGCTTTATGTGCTGGTGTTTGTGTGTAGCCTATATGTTCACGTGACCGTCCAACCGGAAGTAAAACACGTGAAAAACCTCTTCCTTTCTTTGTGCTTTTGAAACATGTAATAATCTAGCTCACCATACTGGAAGGTGGGGGACAGCATTAATGGGGTTGTGACTAAAGCTCACGCTAAGTGCTAAGACTGTGTCACACTAAGAAAACCACATGTCTGCAAGTCACCTGAGGTGCTGTGAAAGGTTACCTCTGTGGTTCCCTTTCAAACACCAGGCCCCGGTAGTAACGTTACCATGCAATGCATGATGTCTTTCGTAATTGCGACAGTTAACTTACTAAAATAAATCCGGTAGTCTGGAGAATTGGGGTGTCCTCTCTCTTCCGTTTGATAGTGCATCGTTTTTCTCAAATAATAAAGGTGAGCTACTGATTGTGTGACGAGTTTGTTGCGAGAAGCGGAAAACGAACCGAACGATGTCACACAACAGCTGAGCGAATAGCGCAGAAGTAGGGGCCTCATTATAAACATTTGTTCGTCCCTCAGTTCCGCTCACGCCACATCCAGAACCGTGAAGTCCGCTAGAGTCCAACGAAACTTCCGCTCGGTGTTTACAAAATAAAAGCCGGCACATTGGTAGCGAGGCGCTCCAGGCTGAGACTGCTGTTTTCTATAAACCATTAAAAATTCAAGACACTTTCATGTACACACATGGCTAAAACATGTTTATTTTTTATAAATAATTAATAATATAAAAGGCGTTTGTGAAAACAATTAGGTTAAATGAAATGCTGAGATGGCAGCTAACAGATAGATAGATAGATACAGTAAATACTTTATTACAGACTCAAGGTCCAGATGTATGAATACAAAAAAAAAAACAATAAAAACCATAAAACAGTCAGCAATAAATAACAATTTTAAAAAGCTAACCGTTAGCTGTTAATGCAAGTTAAAAAGGAAAGTCTAGTTGATGAGTCCAAATAAATAAAAGAATTTATTTAGTCTAATGGGTGTATGACTAGAACATTAAATGCATGGCAATATGCTAATATAACCAGTGCAAAACTGACATTTTTGTTTGAAGATTGCACTATGAAAAAGCTCCTAAGGCAGGGGGTTCCTTTTTGGATGACCAAGTGTTTGTATTTGCTATGTAAATTATAAACCTAGAAAGACATACAGGGTAGCCTAGTCACAGAAAACATTGATCACCTATGTTTAATAGGCCTATGATTAAAGTATTTTTATTCCGTATTCTCAATATTGCAGTAACAGATTTTGGCATGTGTCACTACACCTCAATAGGCTGTTTAGCTGCTTGCCATGGTATTAACCTTGCACTTTTATTTTGATAATAAAATCTTTGTAACTGGAATGTTGTTTTTTTATATTAACTTCTCTATTCTTCCATTGTATGCTGTTCCTGTGTAGTACTGCCACCTAGCTAATCTCACCTCATTTCACTACTGCTCTTCAGCACAAATACTGGAGTACAGAGGGATGACAACCAACATAAAGTGTTTTAGTAAAGTTCCGGGTCACCACGTGCCACCTGAGCAGCTTCTGTGCACCTTGACATTGATTCTCCAGCCTCTGAACTCCAGTGGAGGGATGAACACCATTCCTTCCAAATGATATAGCCTCATTTGGTGTTTTGATGATGGTGGTAGAGATGCTGTCTAACACATTGGTCCAAAGTCTCCCATAGGTGTTCAAGACCATTACATGTGATTCACATCATTTTCATACCCATCAAACCATTTGGTCACCCCTGATGCCCTATGGATGAAGGCACTGTCAACATGGATGAGATCACTCATTTATTCAGTTTTTTCCTTTAATTTGTCACTTGTCTGTATGTCTGGCATGGGAATACATCAGTGCCAATTACCGACTTTTTCTTTATTGTCTTTATTGTCTTTCATCTTTGTCAGTAGGCTATTTCTATAACAGAAATTAGGGGAAAATGTCAATAATAGTAGGACAACTGTAGTTATTGTAGTATTGATTATATTTATAATCTTATCTGATCAATCTACATATATAACTACTACAACTAAAATGAAGAGGGAGATAAAGCAGGTGCACTACCAGTCAAAAATCTGATCACACTTTCACACTGAAGTGAATGAGAGAGTGTGTTACAATTTTTGACTAATAGCGTAGATCTGTGGCCTTTCTTGTCCAATTCTGCTAATGCACATTAAGGCTTCTATGATATTTGTTTTCTAAATGGAGAACTGAGCCTACACTTTTGCTGTAATGTCCCCTTGCTTTTGTTTTTCCAACCTGACGTTAATGGATTTGATGGAGGTAATCTCTACAATACGTCATGAGATCAAAGTCCATATGTATCCATTTTGCCATAACTCCCCACCCCAGCCGCCTTGATCTGTGTTTTTTACTGTTGTATAAGTTAGTCTCTGTTCAAACAAATGACAGATTTATCAGCAGCCATAAAAAGCTAGTTTATTAAAATCTTAAAGTGCATGCTTGCCTTTGATTTTGTTGCCAAAGGGCTTTGATTTTGTTGTGCACAAAATCACATTAGGTCTGTGTGATTCAACTTACAGGAGCGTTTTGACCAATCTTAATCAAGATAGTACAAGAAAACATTTCATGCTATATTCTTTCATGTTAGACAGTAATGCTGGGTTAAGAAGTAAGACTGTGGAAGGTTCATAAAAGACTAAATCGGCATGTGTTTGATCATTTCTGTCACCTGTACCGATCTGAAGAATGTGGATGGAGAGCCAAACTGAGAGTGAATGTCCTTTCCTTTAACTTCTATCAAAGTTCCCAGAAGCAAAGTATTCAGTCACGACTCTTCCAGTGATGGTGTCCAATTGAGTAGTAGTAACTGTCTGTGGCGGTAAAAAAAAAAAAAAAAAACAGGCTTCAGGCTTGAGTGTGTTTTTATTTTCTCTCTCTTTTCACTCCCCTGGCTCAGGCAGCTACTTTCTCTGGCTGCTGCTGAGAAAATAAGATTAACTTTACTTTGTCTTACCAAACAGGCTTTGAAAAATGACCTGGTAGCATCTTTTTTGTCCCTTTAGTATTCATTTTGGATATATTAGCTGAAAAGAAATGCTTTAGGTGGTCATAATCACATTTAAGCTTGTGATTTTATGACAGTATTATTTATTTATTATATAGTACTGTATGTGCCTAAAATTGATAGATCATAGCATTTTTGTACTTTGTTATTTTATAGACCAAATAATACATTGAAAAATTGATTAATTTTATTCTGTGCAGTATAAGTTTAATGACTATATTTTAATACATTATTCTTAGGTGTGAATTGTGAGGAATGTTATATTTGAATGCAATTTAACAATACTTTTATAACAAATACTGTTTAATAGTTTATGTCTTACGTTTTTCCCAAATACACACAAAGACAATGATAATGACCAGCTGATATATAGTTGTAAGCCATATGTGTCTATATAGGTTAATAGAAGTTAAACAGGTGTGCTATGAGCATTCTGCATAGTGATCTGAAAACACAATGGGAGCCCTCATTACCTGGACCTCAATGGCTAGGAATTGCATTCATTCATTGTTCAGGTGAGGTCTTGCAGTATCTGGTTGCTATGACCAGAAATCATTGTGACAGCATTTTAGTTGATGAATTCCCTGTCTAACCACCCTTTTATGGAAGATCATTTATAGCTTACGACAGGAAGAATGCATATAAAGAAACAAACTGTATCAAAAAATGTATCATGTAAAACAATAAGAATATTTTTAGAAATGAAATTTCTTCATCTAAAAAACCCACAGACAGACCCTATTCTTATTCTATTGTCAGCGCATATATGAGTTTGTTTTACGTACATTTCAGAAGACTCCAGAGTCCATTTATCGTATTTACCAATTACTTACAGTTTGCATTGTTGAGGGGTTTATCTTTGCAGTTACATAATGAAATATATACATATATGATTTTATTTTGAAATCGAGCTATTCATTAATGTGTGACCCTTCCTTGAACTGCCACCTTATTGTGGTGGAGGGGTTTGAGTACCCGAGTGATCCTAGGAGCTATGTTGTCGGGGGCTAAATGTCCCTGGTAGGGTCTCCCAAGGCAAACAGGTCCTGGGTGACGGGTCAGACGGAGAGCGAGTCAAAAGCCCTTTATGAATAGATTAAAATCAAGGACCGTGACGTTACCCGGCATGGCGCAGCCA